CATTTGGATGTTTTTCTAGATGTTTCTAACGCAAATTTAGATGTTTTAGATATTTTTGGCTCTGTTTTGGATGTGTGTTTTTTTGTCCCCAAAAAAGTGGCAACACTGACGATACCACAACATCTAGAAGGAGAATAGAGATGAGGCGGTAACTGCAGCTTTCTAGTGTCAAGAGAACAAGATGCATACACATGTAATTGTAACAGACTCTGAAAGCATGATGAGAAAGATGAAGACAGGGATACTTCGAACAAAGAGGCAAACTTCACTGGGAAGGTCACGGGTAGTGAGTCTACTTTGGATCTTTTCTCCAGGCATGCGGCGTGTTGTGGAATAAACAGGCAGTCATATTGGCTGGATCTGCACCACTGGGTGTAAATTGATACACGACGAGGCAGATGTAGTCAAAGCCAAAGCCCTTTGGGGACAAGCACAGGATTCGGAGGAGAAACAAGTTTATTATGGCCTGGGGAGAATGAGGCCCCTGGGTTTAACTAGAGGGTCTGGCGGTTCACTGCACTCAGAGGAGAGGCAAGACGGACATATAACCAGATTACGACTGGTACCATTAGTATTAGAAGTCTGCGCTGGTGCTTAAGATGGGGATGGAGCACGCATGGGAATGACCCGAGTGCTGTGATGTCAATTCATGACTCAGCTAATCTCAGCAGAACATAGGGAGATGTAACAAGCAAAATGTTAGAGTGAATGTTGTACTGCAGGTGTCTGTGGGCTCTGGGCGCATTTCGAGACCCACCCCGGGGAGGGGGGTGGGGCGAGTAGTTAATCAGATGACAACTGGTACCATCAGTGTGGAAGAAGTGACAAGGGAGACGAGGCTAATATGGGCCTCACCTGAATGCTGTGATGTCGAATTTTTACCCAGATTATATTGTCGATATAGCATTGGATCAGTTCTCGTCTACTCGTCCCGTTAGTTCAGCTCCTAATTAAAATTAGCAGTACAGGTATGATTTGAAATATACATCTCTTGACTATCGATATAGCACACAATAATGATTTTTAATGCATGCTTTTGTATTTCCAAATACTGAGTCTGACAGAGAAGGTCTGATTGAAACAATATGCAAAGGTAACAATCAACAACAAACGATTCGGTATTTAGATAACAGTAGTCAATCTAAACACCGAAAAACTGAAATTTGTCAAGAAATGAGGTCATCACCACGTCAATAGGACCACACATATTCTGATCAAAAGTAAGTGCCGAAGCATTGTTATTTCCTGGATAGACGGCCTTTTCGGTTTCAGTTCAAAATAAAATTATTTGTTAAAAGATAATGTCAGCTGATTTTATAATACTGTTACCAGGTCTTTTAATTGAAGAGAAGCACTAAGTTTGAGAAAATTCCCCAGGGAACTGTGACAATAGAAACAAGACGAGTTTTCGATATGTGACCCGGCGTTAGCCGTTAGGTTGGTATTTCATTTGACTAATTTGTTGAGAGAATTAATCAGTTATGAAGTTGGATATATCGTCACTGAACGCATTTCATTGGCGATTAACAACCTGCTTTAACAGTAGTGAGAAGACAGAAATACAATGATACGGGCATGTACTTACCTTAGTCGATACTACTCATCTTATCTCTAAATATAAATAAGACAGTCAGACAGTGAAAACCTGCACCCGGAGATCATAATGTTGGGAGGTGTCTGTGAGCTCTGGGTGCCTCTCGGGGGAAGAGTAGTTAACATTAACCAGATGACAACTGGTACTATCAGTGTGGAAAAAGTGACAAGGGAGACGGGGCTAATATGTTAATCTCGCTCATCTATACCCTGGGGTGTGGAGCCAAAAGGAATAGTTATGAATGATAGTCCACCTCAGTTGGTCGAGTTACTGTTAAGATAGCCAGGTCCTAACAGTGAGGAGGTGGGGGGAGGGGGGGGTGAGTTCTGACAAGATTTTTCGAGCAGACAGATAAGAATGACCGAACCATCAGCAGTGCTGTTTTAAGTGATCTTACTAAAACAGTCAGAGATAAGATGTATGAGAACATCTTGCAAGTAATTACTATATGGCTCTCCTTCGTCGCCTTCGAACTTCCTCCCCATATTATGGCGGCCAAGCAAATACCCTAATAGGGCCTCAGTCGTGTGTAAAATATGGACTTCATTCGATGAACACATCGCGCAAAACTAGGATTACTGTCTGTTGACAGTTTTGAGAAACGCAACAATACACACGATAATAGCTAAATGGCGGGGAGACCACGCGCTCCGACGCAAGTTAGCGATAGTGTTCTTCCGATTAAACTCACCACCGAGCGTATCTCGATGCCGTTACGCGCGGCGAGAATGGGGGGCTAAACTAGATGGCTGGGACTCATGAGAAGCAGCTACCACATCTCCTGCAACTTCCTCCAATTTAGTTGTTAGTGAGTCCCAGCCATCTAGTTTTGCCCCCAATCCGCGCGTAGCAGCACAGGGAATACTGTCGGCGGTACGGCATAGTCGCAGAAACAGGTCCGCAATCAACAATCGCTGAGACCCTGTTAAAGTATTTGTTTGCCCTCGATAATATTGGCCCCTTATTCCGAGACAATCCTAGTTTTGCTGCGATTTGTTCCTCGGCAGGCACTCCACAATTTGCATATGACTGAGGCCTTGTTAGGGTATTTTTTTGGCTGCGATAATATTGGGGACGGAGTTCGAAGGAGAGACAACAATTGTATTGCAACCTCGTCAGTTTCAGAAGACTGACTGCATATTAACCTCATACCACTCCCGAAGCCAAATAAAAATCATACTAAACTGAATGGTTATAGAATTATTACATTGCAGATTACATTTGGTAAAATTCTTGAAAAGATAGGGGCAGGCAAATTACAGGTTTACATTGAAAAACCAGGAGGGTTAGGAAGTTACAAATCAAGAAAGGAAATTTGAGAAAACGCAGCGACCCTGGCTTATAATGTGTATGAGGGGTTTCAACATAAACATGAAACGGTGGTGGCGGCACTGGATTTAGAAGATGCACATACCCGGGTTACATATGATGTTTTACTGTACACAATTATGGATATGGAGGTCAGTCCCTGGATTGTCAGTTGGATTGCAGCAGACTTCATTGTGCCTGGGCTTGTGGTGCTTTAAACTTCCTAGTTTCTGAACTGGCCTCCCACAGGATTGCACCATTTACCAGTGCTTTTCAGAGTATGCACAAGTAGAGTCAGTGTGTTTACAAACAGAAGAAAAATAGAATAGAAATATCTGTCTTTCAAATACCATGTGCAAGAGGTAGTTTTAAAATATGGAAAGGACTCAGTGCTTTGGAAGTGATGGCATCAGTGGACATGGAATAGACAATGTTCTATACAACTCTACCAGCAGCTGATTATTTCAGTGATGGAGTCTCGTTATGGACTGCTAACATTATCTCATACCCAAATAGAGAAGTTGGAATGCATACAAAATCAAGCCATGCGAGTCATTGTGGAGTGTACACGAGATATGCGAGTCATTGTGGAGTGTACATGAGACATGCTAAATGTGTGCATTCAGCACATACTTGCATTACATCTGTATATGAGAGAGGTTTTACAGGTGAAAATGTAACTTGAAGCCGCAATGGACAGGAAATACCTTCTGCTTGAGGCCTTAAGGCAGTGGTTCTCAACCTTCCTAATGCTGTGACACTTTAATATAGTTCTTCATGTTGTGGTCACCCTCAGCCATAACATTATTTTCAATGCTACTTCATGACTTCAGTGAATATTTGCTTTCCTATGGTCTTTGACGACCCCAGTGTAAAGGTTGTTCGACCCCCAAAAGGGTTGCAACCCATAGGTTGAGAACCGCTGCCTTAAGGGATAGCAAGGCACAGAGGCTGAAAAGTGGTGGCTCTTGAATGGCACAGGCAGAAGTCGCAATCAGAACTGTTTGTACTACTGACAAGATAGAGCATGCTGAAGAATTAATTACAGGTGCCCAGGAGAACAGACTTGCACAGATTAATGGTTTACTTGGACTGAGGATGCTGAGAATGGATAACTGGTAAAACAGAGTCAGTAATGCAAGAGCTGATCGATAAAAATTGATGCCCAGATGACATCGTAATATATACAGTGGGTCTGTGGTGAGAAGTAAGAATAGTGGGTGGGGTTCTGTTGCAAAGGTGAATGCACACTGCTTGAAAACAGAGAGCCTTGCATTCAACATCACTACATCCAGTATGAAAATAGAGGTGGAGGCTATAATGGCAGCTGTCCTGTGGCTTGAGATTGTAACAGAATTTAAGAGCATGCTTCAGAAAAATTGAAACTGGCCTCCTGTGATCAGAGTGGCTTGCATCACTTAATAAGACCCAGATCAAGAGCATATCATGAATTTCCTGTTCAGGACATTCAGATGTGTGCGGTGATAGATTAGCTGCTGCCGATCCTCTGGGTGGTGAGCTACTGTATGATAAAGTGGATGTGGTCAAGGCTCTGGGTTGTGGAAAAGAACAGATTGGGAATCTGTACACTGAAAGACTAATTTAACAGGAAAAAGGGCAGGGTGGGAGTTTGAATAGAGATTCTGGAAAATGTTCAACATTGAAGGGGAAACGGGCAGACTCTTAATCAGGTTGCAGCTGGTGCTGTTAGCATTTCAACTCTTCATTGGTTGCTGAAGAAGGGGACAGAGCATGTGTGGAAATGTTCTGAGTGCAGTGATATCAATTCATTCATGCATTCATTCTCTTCATCTGGCTTTTTAACAGTAGAATTTCAGAGAATTATACTGATATGTTTCTTTTTAACAAAATTTTATAAAAAGTGTTGAAAGAATTCAGTTATACCAGAGTGTACTTAAATTGCCTGTATGACAGAAATACACTTCCGATATTGTTGTATCTTTTTTGTCAGGTTGCTGAAATCTGGGGGTGAATTAAAAAGAAGCACTTGAAAACAGATTTCCTGTATTATTTTTTATTTTGTTTATTTTCTAAAAAAGCAAATAACTTGTGGACCTGTATTAACTCCACAGCCGCAATGACAGACATTAAGCTGTCTTGTTCATCTCCTTCATCGCCGGATGATGATGATAACTTTGAAAGAGACCTGCAGGAGATGCTGGAGGATGGGCCCAGTTTAAATGAAGTGACATCAAATGTCCAGGGAGGAACACCCAACTCCGTGTCAGCAACATTTGCCGAACAAGTTGGTCCCTTCTCTGCTGGAGCAAACCCGGCTGGGATCACATCAACCAGTGGAAGTGCGGGTATTTATGGATCTAGTTCTGCGGGCGCTAGGCTGACACGCAGCTATACTGTCCCTGGTGTGTGCTTTTTTGTAAACAATATACTAAAGACATTGAACAAAAGTTATGTATTTCCTTGTTTTTGTGTAAACAATATACTAAATACAGTGAACAAAAGTTATGTATTTCCTTGTTTTTGTGTAAACAATATACTAAAGACAATGAACAAAAGTTATGTGCTTTAAAAAAATGCCAAAGGATAGGAATGAACATTAAATGGGATTAATTCAAGAAAAGTAATTTTAAAAAATATAGAAATGTTTGGGCAGCTGCATGTATTATCATTTTCAAAGCAAAGAAGGCCACAGTATATTGGGCATATCATGAGGAGAAATGGTCCAGGAATCACCAAACAGGCACTGAAGTGGGAAATAAATGGATTAAGAAAATCAGTGCATCCAAAATAAACCTGAGACAAACGTTGCTGAGAGATGCCTAAGGTGCCGGACTGAGAAAATCAGTACATCCAAAATAAACCTGAGACAAACGTTGCTGAGAGATGCCAATAGTGCCGGACTGAGAAAATCAGTACATCCAAAATAAACCTGAGACAAACATTGCTGAAAGATGCCAATAGTGCGGACTGAGAAAATCAGTACATCCAAAATAAACCTGAGACAAACATTGCTGAAAGATGCCAATAGTGCTGGACTGAGAAAATCAGTACATCCAAAATAAACCTGAGACAAACATTGCTGAGAGATGCCAAAGGTGAGGGACTAAGAAAATCAGTACATCCAAAATAAACCTGAGACAAACGTTGCTGAGAGATAACAATAGTGACTAGATTGCAGGCCCTATAACGACATGACAGGATGTCAATGATTACATCCTTACGTAATAATAATTTCAGTATTTGAACTGACACTAACCACTGTGTCAGTTAAGATATTATTTGTCCCCATATAGATACATATTGCTTATTCTTCCTTAAATTGCTGCTTACAGTATTTTTCCCCACTTGTTTCCAATGTTTTTTTATGATTATTTTTTTTTTTAATTGCAGTTTTCTTCCAGTAACTTAACCTACCCAATACACCCCCCCCCCCCCCCCCCCCCCACCCCATCCCCATCCTTTGTTGCTTACGGCTTTGTTCAGCTCAGAAATATATTATTAATTTTTTTTTTATCTCAATAAATTTTATGCTTTTTTTGTGTGTGCTTATTATAAGAATTTGTAATAGCTTAATAATGTTTGTTTTATTTAAAATTCTTGTCATGGCTTTTGTTTTATTTCTTCTTCTATATACTCCATGCTGTGTGGCATTGGTAGTCATGTCTGTACACAGCCTTGTGTCTCGTGCACTTTTAATTGTGACTATGTTATGTGCGCCATATAAAATAGCTTAGCATTGTGGCTACAAAAAAGCCCTGAAAAGCACTCCTGCAGTGTTGATGCAATCAGAGGAGACAAACCCAAATACTGTCGCAATAGGCTACAAAGTCTACCGGCGAGCCAGTGGGCAACTCAGTCACTGATCACCACAATACAGTGTGCTAACCTCCCTTTTAAGAGTGATTGTAGTGCTTTCAGTATGATAAACAATATCTTTTTATTATTTTGTCCTGCTTATGTCACAGAGGATTTGTATGTATTTTCCTAGTCTTTTACTAGTTGTGTAGCTTGTGGTAACGTGTTTCTGTAGTGTCTCTTTTACTCCTTTCACACATCTCTTTCTTGGCCGGCCTCTTGCTTTGTAGTCTGCTGTTTCATCTAGTATGCTCTAGCTGCTGGCTGATTTTGTTCCATTCAGAGAAACTGACAAAAACCATTTGATTCTTTGATGTTCTTTGAAATCATTATTCACCATACCAGTCTAAGTTTGAGCCTGCCAGGCTCTGAAGATGTTTTAAAGAAGTTGAAGTATAATATCTTGGGCAAAGACAGCGTTTTATAAAGTGAAGAATGTTCTATGCAATCTGTCTTTGTCATGTGAGATGAGAAAGAGAATTCTTAAGAGCTGTATAAAACCTGTCCTGAAATATGGTAGTGAATCAGCGGCAAATGGACAATTAGTGAAAAATTATTTTGCAGTGTTGCAGATGGGGTTTCATATATGAATGATGAGAATACCTTAGACCAGGACTGTTCAACTAAGTTTACTCGTGGGCCAAAACTTTGAAAATGGGTATCATCGCAGGCCAGTGGCCTGAGTCCAGGTGTGGAAATATTATTAACACACATTACAATTGACAATATTTTTGTTGTGTAACTTTAATACTCTACAAGTGTGTTTCCTAACCATACGGTAATATAAATAAAAGTGATATAAACTTGCTTTTGAATTATAAATACATGTTAGCATTGTCACTTCAATTGTAATTTTACTAATAATAACTGTCGACAGTTTGTTTCATATGGCTTTTGCAGAAAAATCGGAAAGTTATAACAAAGTAAAATGTAATTGATGGGAAAAGCTGCATTTCCTTTTTTTTTTATAGCTAATTTGATAAAATTTGGCTGGCGTGAAGTTAGAGTAATTCTCACACAATCCCAGCTGTGAAACCTTCTGGGTACGAGTTTCCCAAATCTGCATGTTTCGTTTTAAAGTGCCGCTTCACGTTTTATTCCTTTTCTGCCGACACACATTAATTGCATAGCAAGCGCATTGGTTTTGAATTAGGCATAGTCGGTGATATAAAAAAATATTTCAGTGTCCAGCCATTGTTGAATGTACAATTTTCATATTCCCACTTTGCTGTCTTACTAGTACCAGCATGGCATCAAATATTTAACTAGATTATTAAAATTTAGATAACTGTTACTGTTTCAGTTTGTTACGATACCATCGTGTCAGGCAGTCTATGTCTGGTTGTGATATGTGTACTGTAAACTGGACGTTCATGAAAAATCTTATTATAATCTGATAAGATCACTTGCAGGTGTCCCTAGTGTTCTACGACACACAATGCCGTTAGTTTGTGGCCACCATTTCGGAGAATTTCTCCGAAGCCTAAGCGCTAACTATCATGACCATGCTGTTATTTTCATACGCCCTCTGTCCAATAAATATTTCACCTTTATTCATTGACTGTCTTGTAGAAGCCGTTGCTTTCCGACCCATTAATTGATTCTTTCCAGCCTGTCTTATTACCTTTAGCCCCCAACAGATTTATGCCAACTATTTGAACTAACTCTGATCCTGACCTATATTTCCATGCAAAAGACATTTTTCACAGTTGTGATATTTTCTGTATCTGCACTGGTTCCATTAAATTTGTGATATTTTCTGTGTATCTGCGCTGTTTCCATTAAATCTCAGCATTTACAGATTCATGAAAACCGTTTCCTGTTAATACATTGGTCAAAATGATTTTTAGAGATTTATATAGAAACATTGATTTTTTTTTTTTTTAAATTTACTTTTTTGGCAACGATCGGCGGGCTATTTGCTAGGCCTCTGCAGACCAGACTTGGCCAGCGGGCCGCCAGTTGAATAGCCCTGCCTTAGACGGTTAAAAGGAGTAATGAAGATGTCTTGAAAGAAATTGACTTATAAAGAGAACTGATTGCCCACATGAGGAGACAATCTACATTCTTTCGAATTGAGTGAAAGTACACAAGACAGAAGGTTGTTGATATACTGATCACTGACTTGAGAGTTGCCGTCATAGCACACCAGGCATACTCATAGATGCTCTTTCCTCCGCAGCAAATATCTTAAGGTGTAGATGCTGTTCCCAAAGCACACTGATGATACACCTGCCATTTTCTTTCTGTCAAATTTCCATTCTTGCTGGATCCATACCCAGTTCCTCGTTCACACATTCTAACACATTAATTTTATCTAACATTGGGTCTTCTTTCAGCATTCAAATTCATAAATGGTCTTCAGAATGGTCTCATTTGTCCCGCATGAGTGTTCTTACAGCTATCACTTTTGTAGCCAGAAAATCTGCTCTTTTATTTCCTCATGCTCCTGCATATCCCCGGCAGTAAATGAGATACAAATGGGCTACAAAAGAATGTCAGTGTCAGAATTGATTGAAAGACACAAGACAGAAAGTTATGCTTTTTAGATTGGCTACCAATGCCAGTGGCATGGACTGTGAGAAGAAATGCTTTGGCTATAAAACAAATAAGAGAAAGAAATAAGACCATGTGCAGCCATCATATTGACTTTTCTCAATCAATTAGGGGCCGTCACCACAGTCAAGGTTGACTGCAGTGGATCTCCAACACTCTCTGTCTCTGGTCTTGGTTAAACACTCTCAGCTGTCCGTAATAGATAAAATCGGTAATGAGGTCATAAAAGAAAATGTTGGCATAGAACCAGTTCTAAATTACAAAGAAAGTCAGCATATCAAATGGTTTGTCCACTTAGAAAGAATGCCTTGTGGTGCCATACCATGCAAGGCGTACACTAGAAGAGCATGAGGTAGACCAAGAATAAAATGGAAATATAATAAAGGAGAAACTCTACAAAAGCATGATGTGTCCTTGGTTGAGGCAGCAAGAAGAGCAAGAAACAGAACTTTAAATCTCCCTCAACACCTGAAGCGGTAAAAGAAGATGTGAAGAGGAAAATGTCTTTTAATATTTCTTAAATTTTTTTTAAAATTCCGTTTAGTAACTCTAACTCTCTTTTCATTCGCACACTTTCTCAAAAAACTCTGTAGACATTTATTTTATCATCAATGTATACTTTCTGTTACAGCATCAACCAGCGTTCCTCTGTATGGCTCCGGCAACTCTGGGTCTAACAGTACAGGCAATAGCCCTAATGGAGACTTTATCCCAAAGTCTGTCAGCCTGGTAGCTCAGAATAAGATAGAGATTATCAAGGAATGGAGCCTGAACACATACAAAACAACCAGGCAGTTTATTTCTGAACGGCTCGGCCGGGGATCCAGAACAGTTGATTTGGAAATGGAAGCCAACATCGAATCACTGAGGGATGTTCAACGGAAGTATACCAACATCCTGAGAATGGCCCGGGCAATGGCTTCGCATTTCCACAACGTTGTTCAGACGCAAAGAGCTTTGGGGGAGAGCTTCTCAGAGCTGGCTCAGAAGTCCCCGGAGCTTCAGGAGGAGTTTTTGTTTAACTGTGAAACTCAGCGAACATTGGTCAAAAATGGAGAGATTCTCTTAGGTGAGTGACCCGGCTTTTTAAAGCTAAACTATTTCATGTGTGTATGATATAACACCAGCAACATCTAAAAGATCTGAGTTCATCAACAGCATCCTGCCCCGAAAGCTGGGGTATTTTGTCCAAATTAAACGCTGCGGTGACCTGTAGAGAACAGTGATAAAGGGTACAGTTTCTGGCAAATGAAACAGAGGCAGACCTCCACTAATGTGGATAGATGACACTAAAGATGCATTGGCTGTGAAAGTTTTTAGTGTTGGAGAATTGTTTATGTTATGTAAAGGACATGTTGATTAATAATGTTCATGGAGCTGGAAAGAAATGGTTAGCAATGAACCCACAGTAAATTCAGACAGCAGGCAAGTTGCTCCTGGCTTGGACAAGAAATATCAGATGATGATAGAGTGAGTGATGTTCAACCCCATCAGGACCACACAATGAGCGATAAACACTCAGTGACACAAAGTGTCTACTGTTCTGATGAGAATCCCCCAGGAAGTCCCAGAAACCCCCTTCAGCTGTAAGGTTATACTAGGGCTCCCAGAGATGGTTACAAAGCAACCTGAAGTCCAGCTATGTTTGGCTTTAAAATGCCAAAAGATTGTGTCCCGTATCGGGACAGGTTTGAGTCAGTAACGGATGATGGCAGCCTGTGAAGAAGAAATGTCCTTCAAGAATAACAGAATGTCCTACAGTAGCAACATGCATACAGCAGAGCAAAACAACTAAAATAACTGCAACAACAATTGATGTTTAAAGTAGTACCTGTAATGGAGTGGCCAAAATGTGTTTTGACAACATTAGAAAAATATGAACAGCTGCAAACAACATTTCAAACATAACTGACAAATGTTACGCATACTCAACCTTACTGTATGATGCAGGGACCTGCACAGTGAACCAGCAGTTATAACACTGCACTGAGTCTCCGGAGATGTGGAAATATAGAAGTTTAGGTTATTTCAAGGTAACAAATAATCAAATATCACAAGGTTCCTAAGAAATACATGTGAAATATTCACCCACATTGAAATACATAAATTCTTATAAACAACAATACTGGAGACAAAGCCAGAGTCAAGAGAGTAAGAGGTTGATAGTGATAGAAGTGGGAGAACAACATCTAGAGATAGATTAACAGTAGTTTCAGAAAGTATATAAGCAGCAGTCAGAGAGCATTTACAACTAGCACAAGAGACTAGAGTGTTGGAGAACTATCCTTGGGGGGAAATTGCACCTAACTGATTTCTTTTTCAACAGGTGCCCTGAATTTCTTTGTGTCGTCTGTGAACACCTTGGTCAACAAAACAATCGAAGACACCCTGCTGACAGTCAAGAACTACGAAGGAGCTAGGTACCATTCCTGTTTTTACTTAAACATCATCATCATAATGTAGTGGGCTGTCATCACGGCCTGCCTGAAAGAAACTTTCTGTCGCCAGCTCTTCCACCTCATGAGCTTTCATACCCAAGGAGTCACTTAAATCCTGTGCCCATTTTCATTCTGGTCGGCCCCTGCCCCTGCTTCCTGGCACCATGCCTTCTGCTGTTTATACATGGAGATTGTATTTCATTACCATACAGGCTACTGGGAAAATGGCCACCTGGTGAGGACTGAGCTACATCATTGTTGAAATACTGCTGAAGATGCACTATGTTGACTGATACAATTGCTTAAAGCCCTAGCTATCAGTTCCTTTACATATGGCTGTGAAATCTGGTCCTTAGCAGCTGCACTGGTAAAACAAATACAAGATATTTTCAAAAGATCCCTGAGACCACATCACAAATGACAAAATTGAGCCTTATCATTGCTGAATAAATTGGCAACTATGAACGTCTTTTAACAACAGTGGAAATAAGGAAAACACAATGTAAGTGCATGTAGCTAGATCTACCAGCCTGTCCAGAACAGTACTACAGGGTTTTGTAGAGAGGAAGAGGCAAACTGAGAAAGACCTTGATACAGAATTTGGCTGAATAGACAGGCCTCAGCCAGGCAAACATTATTAAGTCAATTGCATCTGTGACAGAAGTGGAGCGAGCTAATCAGACAGTCAGTGGCAACTGGTGACCCAGCAGCCCACAGTATTACAAGTCTGTGATGGTGATTTCAGTAACAGGTTGGGAGGAAAGTGTACATAAACCTCCACTCCAAAAGATGCACACACTTTCACACTTAACTTCATCGTCCACACTCAGCTGCACATTCATGCTTCCATTCACATGTTTTTAATCTAAAATTGTGTCACCAGCTTGTATTTGCTATAGCTAGACCTCAGAATACTTCCTTTATTTGTCATGAATATTCCTACAGTGTCACTTTAGCAGCCAGTAAGTCTGCTTTTTTATTGCACCAAACTCCTGCTTCATCCAGACCCTACAACAGTGCAAGTCCCTGTCACATGCCATTCTTTTATCTCTTCGGGTATCAAGAGAAATATAAGGTTCTGCTTCTTGCTGTTCTGTCCACCTCAACCATGGAGATCTCATGTTGTCTATTTATCCTTCTAGGTTGGAGTTTGACGCATACAGAACAGATTATGAAAGCCTGGAGGCAGGCCCAAAAGATGCAGCAGTTCAGTTAAGGCTGCAGAGTGCCAAGAGAAAGTTTGAGGAGCACAAGTTGAAATTTGAGCGACTACGGGGAGACGTACAGGTTAAAATCAGATTTCTGGATGAGAACAGGGTGAGTCCAGGGGTGTCTGAAGATTGGTTATGTCAGTCTATGTCCTGGGTGAGAACAAGGTGTGTTCAGGGGTGTCTGAAGATTGGTTATGTCAGTTGAGAGCAGGGTGTGTCCAGTGGTGTCTGAAGATTAGTTATGTCAGTTGAGAACAGGGTGTGTCCAGGGGTGTCTGAAGATTGGTTATGTCAGTCTATGTCCTGGGTGAGAAAAGGGTGTGTCCAGGGGTGTCTGAGGATTGGTTATGTCAGTGTATGACCTGAGTGAGAACAAGGTGTGTCCAGGAGTGTCTGAAGATTGGTTATGTCAGTTTATGACCTTGGTGACAACAGGGTGTGTCCAGTGGTGTCTGATGATTGGTTATGTCAGTGTATGACCTGGACGAGAACATGGTGGGTCTAGGGGTGTCTAAAGATTGGTTAGGTCAGTCAATGACCTGGACGAGAACATAGTGGTCCAGGGGTGTCTTAAGATTGGTTATGTCAGTTTATGACCTGGACGAGAACAGGGTGAGTCCAGGGGTGTCTAAAGATTGGTTATGTCAGTTTATGACCTGGACGAGAACAGGGTGAGTCCAGGGGTGTCTGAAGATTGGTTATGTCAGTTTATGTCCTGGACGAGAACAGGGTGAGTCCAGGGGGAGTCCAGGGGTGTCTGAAGATTGGTTATATCAGTTTATGTCCTGGACGAGAACAGGGTGAGTCCAGGGGTGTCAGAAGATTGGTTATGTCAGTTTATGTCCTGGACGAGAACAGGGTGAGTCCAGGGGTGTCTGAAGATTGGTTATATCAGTTTATGTCCTGGACGAGAACAGGGTGAGTCCAGGGGTGTCTGAAGATTGGTTATGTCAGTTTATGACCTGGATGAGAACAGGGTGGTCCATGGGTGACTGAAGACTGGTTAGAACAGTTCATATTCTATGACAACAGTCACTTTAGATCACTTTATATTCTCTGAGAAAAGTATCAGTCCAGGCGTGCATGAAAATGGGTTAGGTCAGTTTGTGTTCTGTGTCAGGACAGAGCGGATCCAGGACATGCCTGAAAACTCATCTCTGAAAACTCAGTCTCTTGCTAGCTCTCCTGCCTCGTGCACTTTCATATTCAATGAGTCACTTATATTCTGTGCTCATCTTCATGTTGGTCAGCCCCTGCCCCTCCTTCCTGGTACCATATCTTCTTCTATTTTTTTCTCCAGGCCGCCGTGGTGCTTGATATAGACAACATATTTCAGCTTCTGAAACCAGAAGCTGTTTATTAGCCATTCTTCCTTGTGTTCAGATCTTTTAGAATGTCAGAATTTCTTCTCTTCTTTGTCCATGGTATTCTGAGAATCTTTCTATAGCATTTTGGCTCAAAAGCCCCTATTCTCTTCATTAAAGACTGGGCAGTCCACGATTCACATTCCTATGTTGTTGTATGGAAGATGCATGATGTCAAAATTTTAACTTTGATTTCCGTGTCGGTGCTTAACTATAGACTTAATGCTGTTTAATCTTTGTATTGATGTGGCCATCTTCCTTTTGACTTGTGTCGAACAGTCTCCATTGCTGTTTATTATGAAACCTGGATATTCAAAGTTCGTGACATTTTCAATTTCTTCGTAATTTATTGTTATTTTTCGGTGACAGCCAGTTTTGTATGTAGATATTATTTTTGTTGTCCTTCATTTAAAGAACACGTTTTGATCTTCACTCTGTTTTTGGACAGACATGATTAAATGTTCTATCCCCTTTACATAGTTTAAAAAGAGGACTGTGTCATCTGCGTAGTGAAGTTTCAGAGTAGGGGTGCCATCATTTACGAGCGGATCATGACTATCACAAGTCTCGTCATTTTTGGCATTTCTCATTATAGTTTTATGCACACATATTGAATAGGTATGGTGAGAGAATGCACCTCAGATGAATCCAGTGTTTCTCCAGCTGTTTCTTGTTCAAGATATAAACTTTCAATTAAATTCACTTGATGCACTGGAAACTCCATACTTCTAATACTCCACAATTTCTGAGTTGGACACAATCAAAGGCCTTGTTATAATCAATGAAACAAGCATGGAGATCTTCGTTTGTTATCTCTACATTTTTCAAAGACTATTCTCATATTAAAGAGGTGATTGCTGGTTCATCTACCCTGTCTGAAACCAGCTTGTGCTTCGTGTTGCTTATATTATAGTTTCCTGCCAGTCCTTTTCATAATAATTCCCAACAGGATTTTGCTAGCATGACTTATTAATGCGATGGTACGATAGTTGGAGTCTAGTTTCCAATTTCCTCTCTTTGGGAGAGGGATATGAATTGTTATTTTTAGGCCAAATGGTGCTGTTCCAGGTCTTTGTGCACAGTTCGTGGTAGACACAGATGCTGGCTTTTCCTTCTGCCTGAATGAGTTCTGCTAGTATTTGGTCGCAGCCTGGTGACTTTTCTTTCTTCAGACTGTGTATTGCTGATCGTACCTCATCCAATAAAGGCTCTGATTCATTATTGTCACTTTCATAAGTTGTTTCTGAATTGCTTTTTTTTTCCTGAAAAATAGTTAGATAAATTAATGTTCTGGGTGAGATATTTCTCATGTTGAGAAAACCTGAGAATAGTTTAACTATAATGGCATTACACTGGAACCCACAGTAACACACAAATAAAGGCAGTTGAAAAAAAAAAAAAAAGCACACACAGAGAAGGGAACTAGAAAGTGAAGTTTAAAAGATGTTGAGACATGCGAGTGAACTGCATGCGATAGCAACGGATAGGATCACTTGGTGTGAGATAGTTGAGGGCCTATGCTCCACTGGGGGATACAGGGCAGAAGAAGAGCTGCATAAATAATGTCTTGCTCTTGCAGACCCTGTTTATCTCCTTACCTTCTTCTTCTTCATTGTGTTCAAGAGTTGTACAATCCGGAAAGTTCTGGTTGTTCACCCACTTTTGGACTTTGGTCTTGTTCCATAACTTGAGTTTTGCATGTTATGTTATCACAATCGACATCACTGCACAATAGGCATTTCCATGTGGGCTCAGTCCTCCAATGCAGTAACCACTCCAAGGTACTTCTGCTAATTGTTCCCGTGAAAGGTTGGTTATAATTTCTTCTACCTCGGCCTCGAAGGCGGCATTGACATGCTTCACCATGCTTCTCTCCCATGTCATTCATCGTTATTCACCAGCCTAGTCCGTACAGTCTGGTAATGATAACTGCTCTATCCATGCTTCTTCCCATATGCATTAGTGCACTGCTTTCCAATTGGTCCACTCACTCATTAACCTTTTCGTCAGCGTGCCAAGTGTGTAGGTCCAGGTGAGGGAGATTTAAGTGCGATTTTTGAATACTTTCTACCCATTCAGAGTACATACTGCTTGTTGCTATCTTCTGAAGCATGTTCAGATACAATTACTGCATCTGTACTTGTTTGCTCTGCTGACCATACTTGTGCTCTAGAAGCAAAGTTTTTCATGCTCATCCGTTTGACAGATCTGGCTCATTTGTATGCAGACTGTTGGTTCCTCACCTCTCAAGCAGATGCACTCTGACTCTGAAGGAACATCCTTAATTAGTTACCTTCTACGACATGCTTGTTAAGGAGGGGGGGGGGGCAGTGGATCTATTCTGTTATCCCCTAGAATCGGACCCCGGAACCTACAAATTGACTCCTATCCCTGACTGAAACATCCTTTCATGCTTGCAGGTGAAGGTTATGCGCAAACAACTGCTGCTTTTCCACAACGCAATCTCTGCCTACTTCAGTGGCAACGCCACAGCCCTGGAGCTAACCCTGAAACAGTTCAACATACAGCTGAAACGTCCAAACGCAGACAAACCCTCCTGGATAGAGTCTTGAAAATGTCCTTTTTTTGGTGTGGGGTGAATTCATGAGTATGATACATATTTTCTTCCATTGTGTATACAAAGACAGCGTCTTTTTTTATACATTTTTAATAGAAAAGGGAAGGTTCGCTGTATTACATTTTGTTTACTTTTAGAAAGAATTGCAGAGAGTATAAATGTATTGAAGTTGTTGCTGAGTTTGGCCAGACCAGGAAAGACATGTTCAAAGCTTTGCCTGGTTTGGTATTATCACCTGTTAGTATGTGTGTGTATATGTAAAAAAAAAAAATTTCTTTTGGGTGTAGCTTAAGGTAAATAGTGAAAAGACAAAAAGTATCAAAGACTGATCAGATGAACTCCAGGTATACAGTGTTCTAGATGCTTGACTCCTGGCACAGAGATCTGATCAGATGAACTCCAGGTATACAGGGTTGTAGATGCTTGACTCCTGGCACAGAGATCTGATCAGATGAACTCCAGGTATACAGGGTTGTAGATGCTTGACTCCTGGCACAGAGATCTGATCAGATGAACTCCAGGTATACAGTGTTCTAGATGCTTGACTCCTGGCACAGAGATCTGATCAGATGAACTCCAGGTATACAGTGTTCTAGATGCTTGACTCCTGGCACAGAGATCTGATCAAATGAACTCCAGGTATACAGTGTTCTAGATGCTTGACTCCTGGCACAGAGATCTTGCGATGGAAATCCTCATCAAAGAAGATGTAAATAATTGATCTAGGACTGCTGTAATGTACTTATGGCCGAGTAACATTACTGAGGGCTGAGACTAGTTGTCCAAGTAGATACTGCAACTTAAACGCATACAGAATGAATCAGTGAGGGTAATTCTTGGATGTATAAGATACCCCTTAGTGTCTAGGGATATATACTTACCTTGCCATATATTACATATTCTCAAAATGCTGCAAGCAAAATCATATCTCAATGTAGCCACAGACAAGAAGCACCTTCTGCATGAAGCAATAGACAGAGCTAAGGATCACAGACTGAAAAGAGGAAGGTCTTGAATGGCACAAGCTGAAGACATAATTGGGCATGCATGCAAGCTTGATAACATTTGGCAAGGAGAGGAGTAGGTCAGAATGTGCCCGCAAAAATCAGACATGTGTAGGATTCTAATTACACTGGGGCGTAGGTGCCACGACTGGCCAGCAAGCACTGCAGAATCAGAAGGATTCATGACAGTTCTCGCCCAGGTGATGTGATTATCTATACAGATGACTCTTTGTTAAGAGGCAGATAAAGTTCACTGGGGTTCTTAGCAAAAGTAAATGGACAACGCTTAGTGCAACAAAGCCTGGCATATGACACCAGAACATCTAGTTTGAGAATGGAGATGAAGGCAGTCACTGCAGCCTTCCGCTGGCTTTAGAGTCAGCTACATACATGTCATAACTGTAAATGACTCACAGAGTATGTTGAGAAAGGTGGAGAGAGGTATGCTCTGTGAAGAGTGGCAAGCATTGCTTCAGGGGTCTTGGTAGATAGCCTCGTTTGGATATGTTCTCCAGATCATGCCAGAGTATTAGGAAATGAACAGGCAGATAGACTGGCTGGTTCTACACAACTTGGTGGTGAATTGATGCATGATAAGAAAGACATTGTTAGGGCCCTTTGGGGTTGAGTGAACAGTGCTAAGGCACGGATGGATCATCACGGTCTGAGGAGAATGGTGCTGCAGTGAGTGAGCAGGGAAATCTGAGTGACAATCAACACTCAAGGGAAGGGTGAGACAGATATACAATCAGACTGTTACTGGTACCATCGGAATTAAAACTCTACGCTTGCTGCTGAAGACAGGGACGGATTTATTATGGAAATGTCTAGAATGCTGTGATGTCGCTTCTCAATTAAACATTATACAGTAATCATCAATCATGACAAACAACATGCATAGCTCTGTGATAAACAGGCTGAAATACACGTTTAAATGATAAACCCTTATTTGCAGTGTAGGGACGTCTATCACCTGTTATACCTTTTTCTAGGGGTGATGAAAAAAGCATACAGCTAAGATATACAGGTTTTTGTATCTACTCACACGACAGAATATCCTACACACAATCAAACTTGCAGACAGTGACTGGAAGGCTCATGTTCCCATTGAAATATTCAGTCCCCACATCATTAGTAGTAGAACTTGTCAGCTTCACGTTATACAATTGCAAACGACAAGTGAACAGTGTGGCCAAAAAGCCTTCATCAGCACATGAGATGAATAAACAGTGTTACATTTACAAACAGGAATCCACAAAATTCACTTAACTGAAGTCTTTGCGAGACAAATCCACATGCGTGTTGTTATTTGTTGTCTATTGTTATTTTCTTAGTATGCTGGGGGCTGCTTCACTAGAATGAGGCTGAGAGTGGTATTTTTTATAATAGTGTTATTTTGTGAAATGTTTTTACTACACATTTGTTGACTTTTTGTACATAACATCGGACAGCTTTTGGGTGGTAATTTGTTTCTTGTTGGTTAAACCCCCCTCCTCCCCCCATGTCAAAGGTTATATCTCAGGGGTGTTCCAAAATTGGCAGAGTGGTCGAGAAAATTGGCAGTGCATGTTGCTTAGCGTTGTCATTTGTCGTTGCTATGTGTCGTTGCTAAGCGTTGTCATTGCAAAAAAAGCGGACTGTGGGACAGGCGGGCGTCTTTGGTGCGTTCAGTGTCTGTTCAGTTATCCCATTTTTGGCGCGTTCATGTGTTTTCAGTTGTCATTCCCGCGGCAGGTGTCTCTCCAGTGACTTGTGTGTGTTGGCCTTCCTTCATCGGCATGAATTTCTTGGAATTAGAAGAATCCGTGCCTGACGAAAAGAGTAAGGTCTCTTTCCTGCAACATCATGGTTTTTTGCATAGCACCAGAGGTTGTCGCAATAATCATGTAATGCTGTTATTCCTGACGGGAAAAAAAAGGACCGATGGTGGTGTCGAAAATCGACCTGTCGTCTGAACATACCTTTACGGAAAGGGACATTGGCTGGAAGGGTCATGCCAGCCGTACAGACAAATCATTCTTTTTCTATATTACTGGTCCCACGAGTTGACAGGCATTCAATTTTGCCAAGTAGAGCTAGGCATGTCGAAGAATGCAACTGTGGACTGGAGCAACTTCATACAGGAGGTGTGTGCTAATTCATGATTGTTGAATCCGGCAGTGACTGGAGGAGAGAATACAACTGTTGAAATTGATAAAAGTCTGTTTTCAAGGCAGAAAAAAATCATGTGGGATGTGTTTTTCCACAACAGTGGTGTCTGTCTTGAATCCAGCCAATGCTTTATGTTCTGTGTTCCAGACAGAAAAGCAAAGACGCTTATACACAATGCATCGAGTGGAGGTCGGCAAGGGAGAGAAAGAAGCGCCAGAATGGCACTCACAGACATTTATTAGAGTCTTACATGTGTGAGTTCATCTGGCGTAGACGCGCGCAGGTCGCAACCTGTTTGCGACACTTTTGGCAGACATTGTTGCATTCCAGCCACCAGAACAATAGTTGCCATAATAGCAGATCTCTGTCCAGATCTACGAACGTGTGAAATTGTTGTGATTGCCAATTCGTGCATGAACCCAGCAGTATACATCTAGAATGATTAACTCTTTTTATCGCCACCCCACAGTACCCCAACTGGCACTCTATATGAGATTGCACAAAGTACTTTGAAGGAAAGAAAACCACGTTGTTGTTACCTGCCGGTGACATCAGGTATTCTGTATTCCAAACAAGTCCAAAACATCCACCCAAACGACCCCACACCCATACATCACACAATCCCCAACTGCTGACCCTAACCCCAACCCATCTATGTCCACAAAATGACCCCGCTACATCCATAATTGGACCCCACACCATTGACCTTAACCCCAACCCACCAAACACATCTATGTGCACAAAATGACCCCACAACACCCATAAATGGACCCCACACCATTGACCTTAACCCCAACCTACCAAACACATCTACATCCACAAAATGACCCCACAACACCCATAAATGGATCCCACACCATTGACCCTAACCTCAACCCACCAAAAACAAACACATCTATGTCTACAAAATGGCTCCACAACATCCATAAATGGACCCTACACCATTGACCCTAACACCAACCCACCTTCGTCCAGCCTAAGTCTTTCTCCCCAGCAGGAAAACACAAAAACAAACACACCGCAAAAGCATCCTCTCGATTGCACAGGAAAAAACAAACACACAAAATACAACACAAAACTGCAGGGCAATAGCAGACACGCCAACAGCACACCTCTCATAAGCACTTCGTCTTAAATGCACACCAAAACAAGCACACAAAACTACAACCAAAACCAAAACTGCACCAGAATTGACCAAGCTTGAAACACCCCTGAGATAGCAACACCACTCCCAATTTTCTTGATCTCTCTGACAATTTTGGAACACCCCTGAGATATTAGACTGTCCCATAACCTTTGGCTTGGGGGGGGGGGGGGGGGGTTGAACCAACAAAACCGGTAATTTTTCAGTTACCTTGATGTTTTATATTATTCAATGCCATAAGATGTGGCACATAAATGGAAGTCTTCTTCCTCACATTCACTGGCTGTAAACTCCAACAGAAAGTTCTAGTTGTTCATCCACTCCTGGACTCTAGTCATCTTCCAGAACCTGAGTGTTGCATGCACATCTGCGTTACAGATCAGACTCATGTGTATTCAGACTGTTGGTTCTTTGCCTCTCAGACAGATGCACAACTTTGACAGATGCTCTCAATTAGTCGACTGTTACTGCTTGCATTTGGGCAGGTAGTCCATCTATTCTGGTTTCCCCCACAATGGGAGCCTGGAATCCACAGGGGAAGTCTTTCAGGCCAAACACATCTTCCCAATGCAAGAATCTGACTTATGTGAAGGAAAAGTAAGTAAAGTGAAGGACCCTTTCCGTGCCTTTAGTGCATCAGGTGTATGGTGCATCAGGTGTATGGTGCATCAGGTGTATGGTGCTACTCTGATATTT